TCTGCCATCAAGAATCATCTCTCCTGTTTTTATGTAGGTACGAGAGCTGTTCAATAAATAACGTCCTCGGTGCTCGGAAAGAAATGAAAAAAAAAAACGCTTTTCAATGATTTAGTCTTAATGATTTCATTTCAAAATTCTATTAATTAAAACACATGTTTGTAACATTTTTATCCAATTACTGATTGTCTTTTGAACACAGTTTTGAGTATGACATTTCGAATACTGGAATATGCAGATCCTTTGATTTCTTCATGTACTTTTTTTTTCTCTCTGAAAGGTGTTTAAAGAAGTTTAGGAAATTTAACAAATCACAGGTTGAAATATCTTGCGAATATTATTGGTGTCACAAAAAAATTACTTTCTGTTTATCCCCAAAACTCCTTTACTCTTCATGGCCTCTGAGTTTGGACGCTGTCATGAAAAAATTTAATGTAGTGGATTCTTGATTCTAGTTTCTTTCTCTCATAAACCTTTCGATTTTCTTTTTGCCAAAATGTTGCTTTCTAGCTTTCTAGACGTCTCCTCCAGATATTGAACTGCCTATAAGAATAAGAATTTGAACAAGACCACTAATATTTAAGAAAATAGCCTATAAAACTGTTTATATGCAATTCTTTGCTGCTTTTTGCAAGCCTCAAGCTGCTTTGTCAAGTGCATCTCATTGTAAAGAATCTTTATTTTGAGGGTTTAAAATAATGGATTCAAGTTTCATTCTATGTTTGATTTTCAGACAATCGTGGATAAGTACAATTTTTGATTGTTTAAAATAATTATTTAAATGTCGTTTATGCTCATTTTTTCAAAAGTAATCAAAACATAGGGTAACCATTGAGTGTTCATTTTTTTTTTATTAATCGTCAAATGCTTCTTTGAAACAGTTCGAACTATCCCCAAAATGATGCCTATCAATGCTTTGTGTTTTATAGGCAATCGAACATAATCAGTGATAATAAGTTAAATTTTCTCCAACAATACATCGGTTGTTGTAAATCCTTGAAGCCAAGAAAAGTACCCATTTTGATGCCCATTATATAATATTTCTTCATTGAAATTCACCTGCTCCTCCTGCTCATGTCTCTATACAATAGACATTGGTTGCCGTAAATTTCACATATTTAAGTTAATGTTATGTTTGAATTCTTAACAAGTTTAACAACAGCTTTAACGAAGCGTGAAATTTCACTCTAGTTTACTCATTCTTTTCCATTCATTTTACTGCAGTGTCTCGACTAGCCCTTGTTTTCCAGCTTCTCATAATGAAACCATGTGATGAAGAGTGGTCACATGAAATGTTATCAATTCATTAAAGATTCAATATTGAGAGAACTCAAGCTTAATGTCATATGATTTCTATATTGTACGTCGTAGAGCTCAGGACATTATTTTTAGAACAGTCGTCATAAATAATTTAGAAGAATTTATCAGGAGCAAAAATGTGCATGGGCCATCTTTTAATAATGTAAGCATATAAACACTTAATTAAGCTAATTTTTGTTGTATTTTAAATTATTTTTTGTGTTCTTATGGACGATACTGTTATAATATCTTACTCTGCAGAGGGTGTTCAACATGTTCTTAATGAGTTTCGATCGTTTTGTATACGATTGAATGTCAATGTGGACAAAACAATTTTTTTTTTCAAAAGGCCGATCTGTTAAAAATATGTTCTACAACAATAATTCTGTTATTGAAATTGTAAATGAATTTAAATATGTATATTATCTAGATCAGGTTCAATTTGTGAGACTAAAAACATCTATGTGAGGAAGCTGAAAAAGCCATGTATGGTGTAATACCAAAAATAAGACTATTTATTTAACTAATAGATTTCCATGCAGCTTGATTTGTTCGATAATGGTGTCACACTAGTACTTATGTATGGAAGTGAGATATGGGGTTTTGAGAACGAGGTTTTGAGAATATATTGAAATAATTGAATGTGTTCATATAAAATATTTGAAATATATTTTCAATCTAAATAAGTAGTACTTCGAGATATATGGGTTATGGCGAAACGGGTGGCTTCCCTTTGAATATGTACGGTGTATATAAGAATGATATCCCATTGGGCAAAATTATTGGTAAGTCCTGAAACTACTTAAAGATTGTTTATGCTACAAATAAGCATTTAGTTCCACAGTTTTGTTCAAGAAGAACCTTTGAAATTGATGTATTAAGTATATATTTGATAGTTTTGGCTTCTCAAATGTACATGTATGGATTGAACCAGGCCTTTCAGATATTAAATGGCTAAAAACTGTGTAGTTGAACATCGTCTGAAAGATCATAACTTATAGAAATGGCAAAATTATATGTGCGATTCGTCTAAAGGCCACACGTATATTGTCTTCAATGCAGAATTTGGAACTGAAAAATATCTAGTCTTACTACCTACAAATATAGTACAATTTTAATAAATTAAGATCAGAAAATTATCGTCTCCCAGTTGAGACCGGAATATGGTTTGGACTTCACAAAAATGGTAAACTTTGTAATCTGTGCAACGATGGAAAAAAATAGCTGATGTATATCACTATATTTTAGAGTGTCGATTTTTTTCTGTATGCAAAAAAAAAATATCTACTTAGTAAAATTGTAATAGACCATTTCTTTAAATTCTCAGAATTGTTGTCAACTGCTGACTTCAAAGTATTTATCAAACAATGAAGCTACATAAACAGAGTATATGAACAAGTCTGTATTCCATAATTATTTTCGTTACTTCATAATTTGAATGTATTTTCGCCATTTCACGTGTTATCTTGTAAAATGTATATTGTTATTATATATTTTGTACGTAGAACTTCATGCAGTATTACAGTCATGTAATTGGTTTGAGGGAATAAATTGAAATTGAACAAAAACTTTTTCCGTTTGCCTGATCATGACAAACAACACCATTGGATTTGACCGGTCGACATGGAATGCTAACTCGTCCGAAGCGCCTGATCCCATCTCTGCCGTTTTAGAGGTCAGAGTTTTTTTTATGCACCCGCATCGATAGATCCGGGACGTATATTGTTTTTGTCCTGTCTGTCTATCAATCTGTCTGTCTGTTTGTCTGCAAACTTGAACCTTTAAACCATGACAGATAGCTAGAGACTTCATATTAAGTATGCATACTCCATGCCACTTATTAAGTTCTTTCAAATGACACCAAGGTCAATGATCTTGATTGCGACCTATATGCTAAAACAGATTTTTGTCTGCAAATTCTAACCTTTGCCATAACTTTTTAGCCATGAACGACAGAGGCTTTATTATTTGGCATGCATATTCCGCTAATGAAATTCTTTAACACGACACGAAGGCAAATGACCTTGTGATCTTGATTGTGACCTATATGTTAAAAATAGCTTTTTTATATTTTCGACATAGCGTTTGAACCAAAGGAGAAAGAGACTGCATATTTAGTATGCAAACTCCACTAGTCCACAAATGACACCAAGGTTAATGACTGTGTAATGACTGTGTTCTCGACTGTGGAAAATATGTCTATGCAGAAAATAGCTATTTCGTACCGTCGCTATTACTTTTGAACCATAAAAGATAGAGACTTCATATTTGATATGCATACTCCACTAATAAAGTCCTTTCAAACGACAAGTTCAGTGATCTTGTGACCTTGACTATGACCTATATCCTAAAAAATAGTTTTTCGATTTTTGTTGCCGTCGGGCGCATAGTATTTCACAAATACTCGTTTGCTTTTTCGATGTAGTGCCCGGTTATTCGGAGAATTTTTTCGTTAGACTTCTAACATGCCCGTTAGCAGTAATATACTACACAGTAGCCGTTCTATATGTAACTTAATCGGACATCAGTATATACATAAAACACAAATGCACTACATATGAATTTTATTTATAATTACTACTCATGATATCTTCTAAGACACCCCGTAATAGTTGGCTGTTTTGGGGAATGTCATAATCGTTTGCCCCAAAGCTAGATAATGCTTTAATCAACAAATTGTTTTCAGTATCCTTTTTACCCTTTGGACAGACAAGAGTGTGCAATGAGTCATCTCATAAAAATCAACCACAAAAAATAATAAGTTTGAAAACTAGATTCTATCTTCCATTGCAATCTCAAGTTGTGTTAATTTTTTGTTTTGAGATATATTTAAACTTGATAAATAATCAATTATTAAAACTTTTTGATGTTATCTAAAATCCTTTTCACTCAGCTGAATAAGAATAATTTATTTAAAAAAGCATGTCCAAGAGACACAAATGAATGATACATATCGGGGTACATGTATATCAAAGTAAAAGAGGAAATTTTATTATAGATATAAATTGTATGCAAATACTATATAATCATCTTAATACTAGATGTGAAAACAATAATTTCCTAATTCCCAAACAGTAACAAAACCCCCTTTTTCCCAGAAAAGAAAGTGGACTTGTACTTATCTTTGAGCTATTTTGGACACATTTTCATTTAAGGTCAGACGACACGTTCCTAAAAATATATAATTTTTCCTAAGAATTTGTCATTGAATAATAGGTACTTACCTATATTCAAAACATTTAGAAAACAATCAAGAAATCAGAAGAGAATGACAAATATAACTAATTTTGGACATAATACCAAGAGATACAAAACATATATTTGAGGAACCTGTCGTCTGACCTTAATGAGCATCAATGTTCGTGGACAAGCAAAATTTACTTTTCAAATTCATGAATTGCAAGGCAGGTGTATATGGTATATTCAAAAAATCTATATGTTTACTTAAATTAATAAATAATAAAAGTTTATATTGATGTAAATTCATGAGTAAGGATTACCCACGAAATTCAAGAACATAAATTTTCCAAGAACAGTGATGGCTCCACAATATAGTCGTCTACTAAGAAATGACATGCATAATTCTTTTCAAAAATATTGTTGCATCATCATTGCTTCATGTATTCCTGTCTATTTTCTATGGTTTTCTCATTCTAAGCTAAAATTACAAACTACATAAGCAAAGTTCTCTTTTCAAAAACGAAAATCACTTATCTGAACTATGATCTCCTTAATTGCATGAGTTTTAAGGTCATCAACTTGCATAACTGAGCACATCTATGGTCACCTTTGCAATTCGTGTAGTTTAACAGTGGTCTAATTTTATTCCTGTGGTCTGATCAGGATTCTTGTGGCTTTTAGGGTACAATTCCACCCATCTGCACACATCCAACGCATCACAGAACCTGGTTCCTCACTTCCGAACAATCCATTAAGATTTCCACAAGTACAAGAATGGAACCACCAACCCGATCGACAATGATCAGCACATATCCCATTCTTCCATTGATCGTTGTCTACATCAAATGTGCTGAATTTCATTCCATTTGCATCTGCTCTTTTATCAATCTTGTTTGTCATACAATCTAAAATATCCATTTTTAATCGATATCTAAATCTATTTAGATAATTTTAAAAAAGTTGTCAGAATTGATATTGCATGACTACATGTATTTCATCTTCTTTGAAGATTTTCTTACTTTATTTTTATACTCGTAGTCATAGACCATTCTCATGAAATTGTAAATCAACATAGAGTGTATAGTAATTAGTATTATATTAATCTAAAAGATTTATGAACTATGAGTTAGACATGGACTTAACTAACCCAGCTACAACTGTACTCTGCATGTAAAACGCAGTACATTTAAGGTTACAATGGAAATATCGGCGATTTTTGAAGATAAAAAATATATACTTTATAAGGATGGGCGATTCTTTTTAGGATTCATTAATATAAAAAAAATAAAATGTGGCTCCAATCTACATATTAAGGACATTTAGATTTTTTTAAATTTAGACTTCTCACGTGATTTTGGAGTCACACGATTGTAGCAATTAAACTTGCAGTGTAGAAGTTATGAAAAAATTCTAATACTGCAAGGGCATAACCAAGTTAAAAATCTAAAGTTTAATTTATAATTCTTTTCAACACTATATGTAGTTTGTGAAAAGTGCTGCAAACCTATATAGATTCCCTTATTTAATTGCTAAAATTTAATTTGTTGGACGGCAGGTTGAATATTTTGCTGGTCAACTACATTAAATATAGCTATAATTAATTTATTTGCAAGATTTCATGAGGTTCGCAGCACTTTTCAAGTATGGTAAAGCTTCTTGAGTTTATGTATAAAAAACTTGGCAAGAAACATTGAGGGTATGCCCTTGCAATAAATCGATTTATTAGGACCCTTTAATTACTTTTTCAATGTAACTGCATACAAACACACGAAAATATCACTTGTCTGGAGAATATACGGGCATTATATAAACAAAATAGTAAAACAGACATCGCATTCTAGTTAACGGCCTTTTATAGAACTGCAAATAATATTTTATTTTAGAACAAAAGACATTTTTCAATGTACAAAATGTGACTTGATCAGCCTCTCACAGTGTACAAACTGTGTTATTTTTGCGAGATGGCGTCACGTTGACAAGTGTATTGCGATCGATGAATAATTTATATATTGTTGTATGGGACTTAACAAACGACAAAACTGCATGTAATAGTAAGTGTTTAAGTAGTCTACAGCTATCCAACAGTTTGAAATATCAAATAATTTCATTTTGTGGTATTTTGAAGACCTTATTATATGTATGACGTCATAGTAAACATTTCATATATAAATTCGGCCCCGCCTCCTTACTCTAACCTTAACTGTGCTGCGAATTACAAAAATGTAACTTCCCCCCAAAGAAGCTGACAATGTATAAAAAGCATCTTTTCTATCCCTATGTCAAGCTTACGCGATTTTTATGAAGGGGGTAAATTTGTACAAAATATTAAAGCATAGTAAGGAATATTTTATAATAATTTTTCTTAAACATGTTACGCCACCGTATGCCGGTGAAGGGATTCAAATTTAGACCCATAATCCGCACTCAGGGCCATTAAGCAGTGAGGGTTCTTTATCTTGCCAACGTCTACCATAACACCGGACCTACGTTATTAAGGTCATATCTGTAAGACCCGTGACTCTCACTTCTAGCGCTTAGCAAAGGAACAGTCACTATCTACGCCTACGTCTTAGGTTTGACGCAGTGCTTCGAACGAAATCGAACCCGGGCCTTCCCATCACAAAGCGATCGCTCTACCACTAGGCTACCGTGACCGGTTTGAGCATGTTAAAGAATGTATTGAAATCCTCGGACTTCCAAAAATATTTCCTTGGACTTGAAAGCAAGATTAAAAAAAGGTTTCTTCGCAGGTGTGCCATGCGAATTTAGATTGATTGATTGTATATGTGGTTTAACGTCCCTCTCGAAAATTTTTTCACTCATGGAGACGCCACCACTTGCTGGCGGAGACCTGCAAATTTTATCCAATACTCGGCACTTACATGAGAGCCATTGAGCAGGGAAGGATCTATTTGGTGCCAGCACCTACTGAGGCATGGTACCTCGATTTATAGAGTCTCACCCGAAGGACCGATCTCCACGGCACACAGTAGGATCAATTCCTTACTTCGAAACTATAGAGCAGAAGCTCTAACCACTACCCCACGTGGGCGACAGGAACGTAGAAATAAAGAAACTAACAACTTCACTGTAAATGAACCAGATACTTTAAGCTTTTCCATAGTCAACTTATTAGGGAGTAAGATTCCCCCAATCGCCGTCATATGTTGTTTACATCTCCCAACTTATTAGATAATCAAGAGCATTCTCCGAATATGATATATTTTCTAACCTTTGGAAGGCTAATGATGGATTGATTGATGTCAAAGAAAATTCAAAGACTTCGTCTAATATTAGGATTTAGTATATTTTATGATCTCAATTTAAGGACTTTGTATTCAAATATATTATATAATTTTAAAATAACCACTTAAGTTTATAATCTAAACAAAAGCAAAATTAACGGTTCATTACATAGGTACTTGGGTCTTGGTGTATTGATATGTAAAAAAAGTAAAGGTACATGTGCATTCAGGATCCGTAATTACGTCTGCTTAAATCGCTTGCTTAAATGGCTTGTTCTTTGAAAATAACTTTGCACCTACCGATAGTTCAGCACTAGTCGTAATGGAACATTGATTTGTTATTGTAAAATCCCTCACATTTTGCAAATTTTCAAAACGACGAATTCCTGCCAATCAGACTCTCCAAAACTCAAGAGGCAATCCGGGAAATTTAAATATAACTTGAATTAACCCGGAACTATTTATGATTTTCGTTTTGAATCGGGTTTTAGTATTTGTACTCAATTCCGGTCACCTTTACAAAAAAGTTTAAACAGGTGTTTAAAATCAGCTTTTAGGAATTATATGCAAGATATGGGGTTTTTCACAATAAGTAATCAATGTTCCAAGACGACTGGTGCTGGAAGATCGGTAGGTGCAGTTATTTTCAAAGAACAAGTCATGTACATGTAAGCAAGCGAGTTTAGCAGACGCTATTACGGAGCCTGCTTTTCTTAACATATCAGTAAGGCACATACATATTCATAAACAAGACCCAATTACCTGTGGTTCATAACACTACATATTCACTAAATTTGAAGCAATATTCAACGCAGGGCCAGTATGCTTGTAGCTGAGCAGTATTGTGTCGTCAAAATTAATTTATGATAAACACATCGAAAACAATGGTTGCTACAATGGACCAAAGCTTTGTACGAGGGTTGATCCAAAAGTAATGTCACAACTTCGATAAAATCGCTATCCGTCGACGTAAAACAACAAAATTATAAATGATGAAAGCTACAGTTATTTCAAATCAGACCCAAAAATTTCAATTCAACATGATTTATACTTTTCAAAGTATCGGGTTATATACAACGAGCGATTATGGTAGTCGCCGCAGCTAAATAACGTCATATGACGGATACGCGCCGTCATACATTTAAACGCTTCCCTTCGTTTCATTAAAATATATTTGAGATTTGATATCCACGAACACATTCACAAATTTCACTTTCTTACCCTCAGTACCCATTGTACACTCACTCTTTTCATAATTAATTCTATCAAAATTCATTGAACAGTAGTAAAAGACCAACTTAGAATTTCATATATCGCTCTATCCGTCTGGCTTTTTGACAACGTCACACACCATTGAACATTTCCGTCCGCCCTCCCATCTTTCGGTTTTCTGGTCATCTGCTGAGCATTTAATGACCCATCACCCACCAAAAATCGCTGAAACCATCAAAACAAGTCTCTTATTTACATTCTTTCCTCCGAAAGTCTGGTGAATCAACGTAACTGCCTCTACTGGCGATTTCTCCATTTTGAAGCAAAAATGCATTACAGTTTGTTTTGGCTTTTTTGTTCATTTTGACATGTCCTTTATTCAATGCATCGGAATAAATCAACGATGTTTTTCATAAAAAATAGCAGTGATGTCATATAATTTTCAATTTAAGACTATAAAAGGATGTAAATTTTTGTCTTTTAAAGTATTTTGCGTTTAGGCGCTTTTAAAAGGTGCTTTTTAAGTGTTTGTCTTTTTTATACTAAAAAAGTACACTTTAATTTGTGACGTTCGGTTTTGACGCGGCGACACCCCATATCTGACATTTTTTAAACATCTATAAAATAAATTCAGTTGAACATTATTGAATGAAAAATTAAAGTTTTATTAAATTTAAATTTGTGCATCTTTTGGTATATAATATTTGATAATATGACGCCAAATATAAAAGATATGGACACTGTGACATTACTTTTGGATCCTGGAACAGGAAAAAAAATTAGCAAATCTATTGAAATTGAAATTTTTCAAAACGTTTTGATATTTTAAATGCAACAACGGAGGAGTTACACGGAAGTTATAAATTGCGTGTTTGTTAATTAAAAAAGTTTCGTCATGCAGTCTAAATTATTCAAATCCTGTCTAAATAAAAACAATTAGACTCTTCCTTTGTTTATTGTTTCTTATTTACTGGAGAAATATCAATATCGACCTCATGATCAGTTTCGCCTAATTCAATATCAATATTTGTGGATACCTGATATGGCAAATTTATACAAATGGAAACGCGAGATTGAAATTGAATGGTCATTTATTAATAATCAAATGACGAAGCAATCAGAATATGTTAACACTCTGTAAAGTTGATCATAACAAACACAATTAAATACATAAGGTAATTGAAAGAAATGCCTAAAGCAGAAACCATCATAAAATCTTAATTTCACAGTAGTATGCAGTGAGATGCGCATTGTTCATATGTATACAATAAACAGAATGCGTATTTCATCTCTAAAAATTAATCGAGAATGGAGCATATTTTCAGGTGAGTTACAAACAATATTCACCAAAAAAAAGAGTCAATTGTAAAAAAAACAAAGAGAAAAAAATTGTATAATTCCATATCATTGGGCCTTTTTATACTGACTTATTTTATTCCAAACTGAATTTGACGTCGGGACGTTTCATCAAACTGATCAAACAGAGATATTTCGGCAAGGGATGTTTTCTCCCACTAGGCACCTTATGTGACTTGCAATTTAACCTGTTATCCAACTATTTATTTATTTGTAAATGATCAATTATAAATGACGTATATTGATTAATTCTAATGATACGCAATTTTACCATTTCCTGGTTATTGATAAATACGAGTTGTCCAAAAAGTTCGTGGACAATGACGTTTTTGTAAAAATAAATGGTTCTATATGCATCTATTGTATATCAAAATATTTCTTATAAAAATCCAAGTCAGAATGGTTCAATTTTTATTGATGGAACGTCATATTTTTGTAAATATCGGGGTCCTTAAAGATCGCAGATTGTGTGCACGGACCAGTCTGACGTTAAGCTAATTTCATTATAACGTCAAACATTTGGATTTAGACTTTACACATGTACATGGACACAAACTTCATTTCCATGATAAAGCGCTATGCATTCCAAGTGCTAGCAATAATTTCTAAGTATAGATTTTAATTTATTTTATTTTTAAAATTCAAAACAATGTACAAAAATTTACGAGCATCATCTAAATAAACAGTTTATATACACAAACTGCTCAGCCCAGTCCGACGCTGCGCTAGATTTATAACAACGTCATGAAAAGAAATCTCAATTTTCAGTAAATGACATGTGTTTTTAAATTCTTTTAGTGTCTTCGAATTTGTACACATCGTTGAAAAATCGTATATACCAATCTGAAATTGATATACTAAATATATTTCAATAATTTTGAGTTGTTTTAACAAATATTTTGTCTCTTACGTGGTTTGAACCGTTTTAAAAAGTTTTTTTGATCCGATGCTGCCCCGCGCGGACGGCCGACGTCCCTTTTTTGTCGAGTTTGGACACATATTTGTTTGGGTTTTTGTTTAGTATTTGTACTCTCTATATAGTTAGCGATACATAAGATATCATAAAATGATTATTGCTTCTTTATTTGCGTTACATAAAATCTTTATTGATTTTTGACTTGTCTTATATAGAAAATAATCAATGTAATCCGAACACATTATATCAGCGTTTATGCCCTTTAACCTTGGTCCGTGCGCACTTTCCGCGACCTTTAAAGACCCCGATTTTTACAAAAATATGTTCCATCAATAAAAATAAAATCATTCTGATTTGTTTTTTCATAAGAAATATTTTGATATACAACAGGTTTATTTAGAACTATTTTTTTCTCACAAAAAGGTCATTGTCCACGAACTTTTTGGACAACCCTCGTACGTATTAGTTATTTGAATGTGCACCTACACGTTTATGTAGTACATATAATTATGCTCACCATATAACCCCTTGAATCCACGTATTGTTAGATTGTATTTGGTGCTTTCATCACCGACAAAGAAATGACTGTATTCTGCCTCTAATGGCTCGTTGTCTGTCTTCAGCATCTCTACTTTCATATAATTATAGCCATTTTTCGTCAACATGTGTATCACGTCATTTCCTGTAGCAGAATTGTACGTATTATTTTTTCCATTTATTATAAATTAAATGAGTAATTCAACTGAGATATTTATTAATTGAAACTGATTCCGTAAGTTGTTTTATATAAATATTCGCATTAAAGTTAAAATGGACTTTCTTTCATAAAGATTAGACTAAGATTGATAAAGCTTAAAATTTAATTTAAAAATCTTATCATATTATATCACAATTCAGGCATACCAATCCAAAAATCTGATTTTTCTTTGAAGTTTCCGAAACCAGCCTTGTAGTCAGACCAATTTCTGTAAAAGTTTGTGTTATTAAAACACCTTCTTTGTATCACCTAATAAAAGTAAAAGTGCAGATATACAGTAAAACTCGGTTATAACGAAGTTATTGGACTTTTGAAATTAAATTGCTATATCCGTAATTCGTTGTATCTGTATAAGGGAATCGTTAAATTAATATAGCTGGGGGATCCAAGATAACCTAGATAAAACCGTGAATTCGCAATATCTGTGTTCGTTTGCCGTAGTGCTTAAGACGAAGTAAAGTTGTTTTTGAATTGTTATTTTGAATGTTGAAACTCATTTCTATTTACCACAATTACATTTAACAGAATTGTCCCATGGAGATTTGAAATTAAAAGTTTTCAAATATTTTAAAAATTTTTAATTAAAATAAAAAAAAAAAATAATAATTTGACAAAAATTTGCCTTATGATACATGAAAGATATATATGTTTGACCATGTTAAAGTTATCTTATTTTTGAAGATTTAGAGACAATGTTTTTTTTTTTTTCAAATTAATTTCTGTATATTCAAATCAGTTTTATTATCAAATCTTAGTCACAGGTGCAACAGTGTGGTGAATATTTTATTTAAATGTACATAAGATGAAAAAATCCAAATCAATAAATAGGAAAAGGGGGTTGAGAGTTCATACAAAAAGAGGGAAAAACCTCTTAAAATTGTTAATATACTTACTCATGATATCAGAATTTGAAATCATAAAAAGCCTTTTATAATGCATTGTATAACTCATTTAAAAATATTTAAGTTGGGAGTAAAATTGTCATACCGCCCATTTGTGTCCCTCAGAGTAAACATATGGTACGCCAACTTCTTTATTATCAATTTCCAGAGTCTCTAACGACGTCAATTCAGTGGCACACGTGACAAAGTCTAAAACAAGATTGTTGATATATCATATTACATGTACATATGCAGACTGTACGAGGGCTGATCCAAGAGTTCGTGGAATTTTTTCATGTTTTAGTAATATAATTCTGGTTGTAACACTGTACTTGATTGGATAAAATATTTACTTCATATCGTATAAAATGGGTTGCCAACGTCACAATGACTTTCCTCAAAAACGTATCAATCCGCCTGACGTTACAATGTACATTCAAAATTGTACAAATTGAAGTCATTTTGTTAGAACAATCATCTTTTTTTCTTACATCAAATCAATGAAAATAAAATTATAAGCAATGAATTTAATAGCTACCCATTTGATACGGTATAAACTGGTTTGGAACAGTTTACGCTTTTTTTTATAAACCGCTTCGCGGTTTATAAAGCGTAAACTGCCCCAACCCAGTTTATACCGTATAAAATGGGTAGCTATTAAATTCATTCCGTAATTTATTTTCAAGTTAAATTGGTTGAAAATTACAAATGAAAATATAGACACTTGTTGAAAATTTTAAATAAAAAAAAACATTTTAAATATTTTATGATCGTAACTTAATGCAGTTGCCATTGAAACGGTTGTTTGGAAATGTGAGGGGGACATTAACGCGTGCATTATCATTTCAATTGTTAATACGTGAAATGAGAATAAAATAGTCCTATGTGGTATATTAAACGAAAATTATGTCATTATTACGATTGCTTAATCTTTTATACACCTTTATGTGAAAATTTTACTGATTTTACTGGATATTTAGTTTATAAGTTGATGGTTTATTGTTCATCTTTCAGTTGTTAGAAAACATCAAATTTTGACCAAATCATAACGGTTTTTATGAAATCCTGGGATCACTCTGGCTTTAAATGCGTATATTATTGACATAGGCTTGGGGAAAATTTATTAAGTTACTGGTTTTCCAGTGGCATAGGAAATTTAAGAAAAATAGAACTTCCATGGACGTTGATAAAAGGCGTGACCGCCTTTTGGGGCTCTTTTTTAAGTGTTTATTCCCTAGACAAATTAAAAGCGTTAATGGACGTCGTCAGCTGACGTACTGTTCTTGACATTGTTACTGAAATTACAAAACCATATGGAAAGATGGGGAGAATTTTGAAATGAGTGAAAAATGAAAATAAGTCGGTGCGAGACGATGCCCAGGCTTTTCTGAGAAAAAAAAATGGAGAAAAAGGCAGTATATTGTAGAATTACTTAGTCGAATTGGAGATTAGGGTGAGATGCAACTATAACGTGACTAATCTAACTTGACGTTACGTCGAAATCTCCCCCGGGTTTCACAACTATCCATTTTTAGAAAGCTCGTGTGATCTTATTGGTAATTGGAAAGTGGTGAAATGCTCCCATATTGTTTCATTATGATTCTATATTATAAATATGTCTGTTGTTTGCTTTCATCAAACCACGATAAAATTTTAGAAAGAATTTCTAAGAACTTTTGGATCAACCCTCTTATATATTAAAAACTTGCAGTAGCAAATAAAATAAATGACGAAAAAAAAATTCAGATGTCTGTAGTATTGAATAATAATGAACTGCGTATGTTTTATAAATGTCCGCTCAAAGATTTTTTTCAAAACATTACGGAAGAAAAAACTATGATGTTAACTTGTTGAATACACGTTTTATCTTATAATATTTGTACATACTGCAAGGGGTGTTTTGATAATGTGTCCAATTTCCGTCTGACTGACATATAACTTTTTGTCTATATTTTTTCTCATGAGTCCAGGGATAGCATTGGAATATCCTAAGGGAACCAACTCCAATTGTTAGAAACTGTCCCTTTGATTTAATTTCAATAGCGTCTCTCAAGGTAGGAAGAGGTCCACAATCTGTGAAGTAAAAAAAAACCCACAGATCTCTGTTCACAAATGCAGATAACTGATTCAGTATTTTGAAAAGAAAATATTTTTTTAATTTGTTGAGGTCAACCTTCAACACTGGATACACAATTGTACTCGATATAAAATAATGCTTTGCATATTGTTCTTCGTTTTTTTGTTTTCCTTTCATGTAATACCAAATATACCACTACCAAAAATAGTTCTATAAGAAATATTGTGGGCAAGACTTGCACCTGAACCTACCTCTGATATTTTCAGAGGTCCATCTTTGTTCTAGATAACAATTTTATTAATTCTTTAGTCATTTATACATGTTGATAGTTAGAAAGTCTTCATTTTGCATTGACTAATCATGTATTATGTAAATCAGTTTTATAACTGTAGTGCGATGGTACTCCAAAGTTCGATGGTGACGCCAGAGTCCAATGGTCTGCGCCAGACCCCGATTGTTTTAAACACCAAAGTCCGACTGAGCGGAGAACAAATGACCTTTATAACGTCATATTACTACTGCGCAAAAATGCAATGCCGCGCTATGCCAAGATCCCATTGTTTTTAATAAATGCAATTGGATATTAATTGCATAAAACTAATTTTTTTGTTACGTGCGAGACCTACTCCATTTATTAGTCAAAAAATCTGTAACAACGTTAATCTAAAATAATATAAATCTTAGGCCGGTGCTTGAATAACCAAAATCAGTCGAATGGTGTGCGAAGACGCACTCTAAATCTCTTAGATTGATTTAATGTAACAAAATATCAGTCCAATAATGTTCAAGGACTATCCCTTACCGGTCGATGACTACTCCTAATAACTCTGGTGGATACAAGCGATTAGCAAAATCAGTAAAATTGAACAAGATGATGAAGCCAAAATAAGGGATTTTAAGTGCCGAAAAATGGTGTCAAGGAATAGAGTCGGATTATTGTGACGTCATCAACGTTGGTTGCTCTATCCGGACCTTGGCATATCAGACCATTACATTTTAGTGCATTGCATTTCAAACAAGGCATCAGACTTTGGCCTGATCAGCTGGTATAAGCGTCCCTGAAGAGCAACAGGAGTTTGACGCACTCCATCGGACTTTGGCAAGACCATCAAAAAAATTCGACGCGACCATTGCAGTTTGTAGTCATACATACATAACGTCAATCAATATATACATAAAGTCACTTTCATTTCTGTTAAGTAACATCTTTCAAACGTTTCCCTCCTCCAATCAAAAAAAAAAAAAATCACAAATAAATATCACTAAAAGCTCTTTCATTATTCTTTTTTGCCTAGCATTTTAACATGTTCGTGTGAAATGAATATGGAGATTATGGATAGCATTCAAGCTCAAAGTTCATTAATTTTAAGCATGTGAAATCGGTTATAGGGTAAACAAGGACCTTCAATAAAGACCAGAGGCAGAATCATGTGCCTTGAAGGAATAAGTATCCTCTTGAAATTAATTACCTGCAATTTTACACCTATGTGTACCAAAAGGACCAGGTACACATTTCATATTGATTGCACATTTGTGATTTCTGCAACCTCCAACAAAGTGCTACAAAAGTATGGAAAAATCTTAAAAATGAAAAAATGAACACATGTCTCAATTTTGCATAATTCAATACAGCTCTAAAAATCAATGTAACAATTGTTTCGGATAATCATTTACTTAATTTTTCTTTCATTTCAGTAGTTCACCAAAGAAAAGTCGTGAGATATGATTTATTATCATATGTTTATACTGCTCAATATTTTTTTCAGGATTTGTGGACATGTTTCAGTAACTCGTACATTAAGTCAATTATCTCATATCATGACTTTTTTAGTATAAAAATAATTTTTAAAACACTGCGGTGTTCATAATTCACTGATACAGTATTGATATTTCGAACCATTGCCACATATGTTCAGGATTGC